TAAACCCTAAACCCATAAACCGTAAACCCTAAATCCTGATGAATGCATTGGTGCAGCCACCCGGCCCCTGTGCCTCGGGCCGAAGTTTTTGTTTGGGGGGTTTAGGGTTTAGGGCTTGGGGCTTGGGGCTTGGGGTTTTAGGCTTTTGCTTCAAAGCTTCTACGGCCTGTGGCTTAGAATGTTGGCTTTTTGGGCTTGTGCTTCAGAATTTCGGGTCTCGGGAATCTTAAATATAAGGGCCTTAATAATTCGAATAGGGTTTTGGGGTCCATTATACAGTTTTTATTAAGGAACCACCAAAACCTTATTCTAATTATTCAGGCCCCTACATTACTTCTACAGTCTGGGATATAGGTGGTTGAAGCCGCTCTTCGGCATGCCCTGGTGCAGCGTTTGGGTGGACAACGGGTTTCACTCCAGCTTGTGGTCATACTGAAGGTAAGTACAGAAGCCTGGCGAATTTGTAAGACTGTTCCTGAGAGGTCTTTGGTGTAGTTACAGTTACTAGATTATAGCCAGCACCTAGTGTTATCATCAAGATGACACAGATGCCTGAATAATTACCAAACTGCTGTTCCTCAATATTCCTCGGGGTTCCGAAATATGACCACATAAAAAATACCCGCACCCCAAACAGAAAAAGACTTCTCCGGACAAGAGCCTCAAGGTGACTAAAGACGATGTGCAATTTTTAGTTCTGACATTTAAGTAAGGACTGTCGTGGCTGATGACAACCAACGGTTTCAATTGTTGATGCTAAAAGTAGCATGCGTGTTCGGCTACCTCCTCCTGCAACTAGGTGATCTTCTAGTTCTTTATATCTCGTATATTCCAATTCTAGGACATGTTCAGGTGGGTAGTTACCGTTATTGTTTTGTTTTTTTGATGCAGGTGCCAAATAAGGGTCGGCACAAACAGAAATGTTGCTCCCCGAGATTCCTTATGGTTCATAGTACCCTAAACCCTAAACCCATAAACCCCTAAACCCCTATAGTGGCATGAAGAATGGGAGCGGAGTGCATGCCAGCACGCAGCAGTCTGATGCAGCAAGAGGAGGGAGGTGGCAACAAGTGAGTACGAGCGAGCCTCCGGGACCTGTAAGCGCTAACCCAGTGTCATGACTTAGCCCTTGTAGTGCCTGTAAAGCTTGGTGCAAAGGGCAGTTAACGCTTTTGGGATGGTGATACGTGCCGTCTCTTCTGTCGCCAAAGTGCAATCGTCGCGTACCAGGAACCTCGCCTAGGCTTGTCCGAGAGTGAGTGCGAAACCCCTAAACCCCCAAACCCCAAACCCCCAACCCCTAAACCCCTAAACCCCTAAACCCCTAAAACCCCTAAAAACCCCAAAAACCCCTAAACCCCCCAACCCCTAAACCCCTAAACCCCTAAACCCCTAAACCCCCAAACCCAAATTTCCTTGCCCAGCTCATGAGGCCTCTAGAGTCCCAAATCACCGGATCTCCACCAACCCCGGGTGACTGGACATTTACTACGGGTTTAGGGTTTAGGGTTTAGGGGTTTAGGGTTTAGGGGTTTAGGGTTTTGGGGTTTAGGGGTTAAGGGCTTAGGGCAGCAGCAGAGTCCCTTGTGAAAAAGGGGTTTAGGGCTTAAGGCTTTAAGGGTTTAGGGTATAGGGATGCCAGAAAGTTGGAACATGAATATCCCCATGCCCTTAAAGTAAAGTAGAAGGCATCCTAGCACTAATCCCCCCTAAACCTATGTTCAAACTTCCTGGGGTTCGCTGTAACCCTTGGGCTAGGTGCCTTCTGAGGCGCCCTTACAGCCCTGGTTGTAATGTTTCCTCCAACACCTCGTTGTCAGGTTCTACAAGCCTCGTAGCCACAATTGAATTCCTTGCAAAGGTCCTGTAAAGTCCTTCCAAACCCCTTGACTAATGTGCTAATGGAGGGGCCTTAATAATTTGAATGTGGCTTTGGGAGATATTACACTATAATGATAGCAAGGAACCCCCCAAATAGTATTGGTAATTATTTAGGCCCCTATAATGCATAGACCCAAAGACAGAAGCCCAGCACACGAAGCCACATCCTCGGATCTTAGGTCTAGCGCAGCCTCAGCTGCTTCAAGGCTATCCATTGCCATTGGCACCCCCTGGCACAGTCCCACATGCCACGTGGCGTTTGAGGGTAATATAGAAGCCTAAATAAATATCCATACTATTTTGGGGCTTCCTTGCTACAAATATATTCTAGCATAGTGGGCCCCAAAACCCTGTTGTAATTAAAAAACGGTGTAGGGGCTAGTTTAGCCTGAACCCTGAAGTCCCGAAACCCCCACGGTTTGGCTTTCAGTTATGTAGGGGGTGGGTTTTTTTTGAAGCCCTGATACCCTTCAATCCCTAAACCCCTCAGGTTCGGGTCTGGGTTAGATGAGAGCGGTGTGACTTGGGGGGGCGGCCAAAGAGTGCTGGAGACATGGGGTTGGGATTGCTGCTCTGGATGTCGGGGCCTCGATCTCTCGGACTTGGATTAAACTTTCTATGTCGTTGACAAGGTTTCGGGGTTTCGGAAAATAGGGGACTCTAATATAGTTCCCTAAATAGTAGGATCTTTAGTATAAGGACCCCAAACATACGGTAACCCCCCTATTTTCGTAAACTCCCATTTAGTGTCAAGTTTGCCGGCGTCTCATGAAGTCCGTGAGAGCCCAGCATGCCGGCGTACACCCAAAGCCCGTAGCTGAAAAACGGGTTAGGAATAATTAAGGTACCCCTGTATTACATTTGCCTTGATGTTCGGTCTAAACCCTGAACCCTAAAACCCTAAATCCTAGGGGCTTGTCTTGTTGCTGAGCTTGCATGTGCAGTTGTTTCACTTTGCTGCTGACTCATCATTCGCCTCGCCTGGATTGTCCGAGTGTGAGAGCCGAAAACCCTAAATCCTAAAACCCTAAAGCCCTAAAACCCTAAACCCTAAAACCCTCAAGCCATTCGCAACTCATTGTGTCACGCCGACGTCTGCACCTACGAACCCTCGCCTGGCTTGTCCGAGTTGTGAGAGTGTAAAGCCCTAAAGCCCTAAACCCTGAAAAGCCCTGAAACTTGAAACCCCTAAAACCCCAAACCCCAAAACCCTAAAGCCCTAAAGCCCTAGCCCCAAAAAAACCCTACAATAGCTCCAGCAACTCCCAAACCATCAGCCAAGCCAGCCTCTCCCTTCACGAGGCACCGTTAGCAGCTGCAGCACCGGCGGTAGCCGCATGGCCGCAGCCCGCACCAGTGCAAGTGCAGTATGTGCAGGCTGCGCCGTGACTCGCCTGAAGAGTAGGGTAGAAGGGTTTAGGGTTTAGGGAGTTTAGGGCAATGGGGTCTCATGCTACCTACCTGGCGTATTCAAGCCTGCAAGCAAAAGGGTCTCATGCAGTTCATGGCCACGAAAGTTCAGGGTCCTAAACGCTAAACCCTAAACCAGGAACCTCATTGCCATGCCTGCCTTGTGCGAGTGTGTGAGTCGAAACCCTAAACCATAGGGGTGTGAGTCGAAACCCTAAACCATAGGGGTGGAAGACAAGTGCGGAAGAGTCAAGGCTCGACGTGATCGAGCGACAAGTTTACTGTCCCACGAGCCTCTCAAAGATCCAGCACCCCGAAGAGGTCTACCTTACTCAATCCCAAAACCTTAAGGTTTAGGGTTTAGGGTTTAGGGTTTAGGGTTTAGGGAATCAATCCCAAAACCTTAAGGGCCCACCATATCCCGGGCTCGCCGCAAGCAAACGGCACCCGGAAAAGTGAAAAATGCTGCAAGGATCGCTCCTCAGCCAATCCAACTTCAAGCGCCGCAGTATGGGGCAAGCCCGCTGCCGCAGCCACAGCTTCAGCTGGGGGCCTACTCGGCGGGTTTCGGGTGTAAGGTTGAGAGACACTTAAAGGGTCATGGGACTTAGTAAGTAAGGTTATAAGTCCTTTAATTGAGCTTATAAGTATGGTTACCTTAGTTATGACCCTACTTACTAAGTCCCATGATCCTTTAAGCATGGTTGCTGAGCGGGCAGCCTTCAACCCCAGGACCTCGCCACTCACACGAGTACTACCTAGGAGGGGTATACTGTGACCTTAGACAATAATTATGCTGCTTGACAGCAGGTTGAATGTGAATCGCTGCACGTTCACGTTCAATTACATGTACAGTCCTGTTTGCCGGGGTGGCGACCTTTACGATCGGATCCGCGCTAGGGCCCTCGAGTCTTCAGTGAACAGGAGTGCTGTTACCCTCTGCGGTGTTGAAGTTCACAACACGCCTTGAACTCCCTGATCCTTCAAGAGGGTTTAAAAGTAGGCCGTTGGGTGTAGGGCCTACGGTGTAGGGTTCTCTTGTACGGGCCATGAGACTTACAACGCCGAAGGCCTAAGTTTACATCAGGAGTGTGTAACCGCAGACTGGAAGAGCAAAACCCGCTGTGCCCTAGTGGGAGCGTCATATGCAGCCATGTCAAGGTTCAGGCTTGTGACTTCTGACTCCAACTACGGTACCAGTGGTTCAGGTTATAGTTGCCCATGAACTGCCTACATGCTTACCCATGTGCCTTTGAGAACAGCCCCTCTACGCTCCACCAAAAAACTACTCCGGAGGAATATTGAATCATTAGTGAGAGACTTTCATATCGCCTTTCTGCATAAACTATATGTTATTTTCTTTCTCTGCCGCACAAACCTCGTTCTACTTGTGACATTTATGAAGACTCTATACTACATCCTCTGCCCGTGGGTTCGCAACATTAAGGCCGAAATCCTGAAGCTTCACAAAAAGGCCTAAACCCATTGCAGCAGCATCCTCTCCATTCTCTTTGCACGAGCATCAAAAACCCGTCTTGAGGCTGCCCCCTGTGGCCCTGGCTCCATTGGCCGTCGCCCCACCGCTGCTACCAGGCAGGGGGTTTGGGGCTTAATGCAAGGGCCTTAAGAATTAGAATAAGGTGTTGGGGATCATTATAGCGTAATTATATTATAGTATAATGTACCCTGGTTTGGGGGATCACTTTGGTATAATCATATTATAGTAGAATGTACCCTATTCTAATTATTAATAGCCCTAGATTAGGGGGATTGAGGGTTGGCGGAGTTTGGGGTTTGGTTTCGGGTTGACGCTTTGGTCTTCTCGGGGCTTTCACGAGCTTGGGTAGCGATTGACAAGGCGTTGTGGGGCTTTCGGCGGTCTGGGAGTTTGGGGGTTTTTAGGCTACTCAGAACGCTGTGGGTTTAGAGCCAGCCTTGGGGTGTGAAGGATTGTTTGTAGTTGGAGTTGGGAGTTTAGGGATTCAGGATTTGGTTCAGGGTCAAGGAGCATATGGTGAGGGGTTTAGGGAATTAGGGGGTTTCGCATTTAGGACTCAGGACTTTCTGGTTTTGGGGTTTAGAGATTTACTTTGCTTTCTTCCCATTGCAGGCCCCGTCCCAGCTGCTCCGGGTGCGGCGGCACAGGTGCCATGCCGTCATGATCTGAAAAGCTGATATGGTCGACAGTCCATAGTTGGGATATCAGAGCCTGGCCAAGGAGGGACATTGGTTCATATGATGATCATGCCAGTTCGGGGTCCATGGTCCCTAAACCCTAAACCCTAAACCCTAAACCCTAACCTTAGAGAACCCAAAGCCAAAGAAAAGTTTGATCTCAGATTTCTGTAGCACCTCCTTGTAACTTACACCGGAAGCCTTAGCACCCTAAACCCTAAACCCTAGAGCCCAAAGCCCAAAGATGAATTGTACCTCAGGTCTCCGTAGTCTCGGTTGCTGGCCTACCAGCAGCGGCTCCTTTGCAGACTGTCGTCCAGGCCTCTGGGCTTTGGTTTAAAGCGCTTAGGGTTTAGGGTTTAAGGGTTTAAGGGTTTAGGGTTTATGGCCGGGCGAGCTCCAATCAAGCCTGTGTAAAAAAGGGTTTAAGGGTTTAGGTGCTTAGGTTTTTTGGGCATAAGAGTGGGAGGGGCGTGAGAGCTTGGAATTCAGGAGTCGGGAAGCTAATGGGGCGTGGTTGAGGATTAACTGCAGGGTGGAGGATACTTAAAGCATCATGCGACTTAGTAAGTAGGGTTATAACTAAGGTAACCATACTTACAAGCCCAATCAAAGGACTTATAACCTTACTTACTAAGTCCCATGACCCTTTAAGTAGTCAGGACTCACGGTTTGGAGGTTTTGCGGTTGTACGGTTGATTTGCTGCCTGGAGGTCTGTTATCTGGGGAGTTGCCCCGTCTTGCTGCGAACGGCATCTGTCTTTTCTGGCAGGGGCACTACCACCGCATCGCGGCCGCGACTACTCCTGATGCAAGAATGACAACTAATTACTTGCTACATATTGGAATTTTGGTTAGCCAGGATTCTCAAGTACAGGTGCACGTGCAGCTTAGGTGACGAAGTTTTGTCAGTCTACTAGTCTACTGCTGCTACAGCTACTGCTAGTGCCGCTACAAGACATCCTGATCGGATCTGCGCTGCATGCTTAACGGATCCAAACCCCGGTCAGAAAGCACTTCGCACTCCTGCCGGCAATCATGACAGAGCGGCCGGAATAATGAGCAATGGTTTTCAATTGTCCTACAAACTACCTCAAAAACCCTATTCGTGAAGGCTCCTGCATTCGTCTGTTCGGCACCCTGCTGGCCAGCGGACTGCAGAAAAAGTGTCCACCTCCCCTCTTTGCATGTGATTTGCAGACCATGCCTGCTGCGACATCTGTTCCTGTGGCGGCTGATGCTGCTGCCACTGCAGGATCTGCTAATAGGTCCGTTTAAGAGGTGTTTTTGAATTAGGTTCCTAAACCCTAAACCCGTAAACGCAATGGGGTTTTCAGGGTTTGTTTGGACTTGTCGTCGGGTTTGAGTGCGGTATCAATAGGTTTGTCTTCGGGCCAGCAATGCGATTTGGGGGTTTCCGAAAATAGGGGACCCTAATATAGCACCCTAAATAGTAGGATCCTTATTATAAGGACCCCCAAATAGGATACCCCAATTTTCGGAAACTCCCATTTAGGGAGAAGGAGAAAAAAAAGCCCAGCACATGACCTTCGCTGCCGGCGGGAGGTTGAAAGCAATTTAGAGCACAAAAGCCAACATCGTGCCTCTTTCTTCCGATTGAAGTCTCTATGTTTCAACCATCACTATGTTTCTTGAAGCCTGCGGAGATATTCTCACATGATCGCAAACACGGGACAAAGCAAAGGAGTTAGGGGAACCCTCGCCCTAAACCCTAATCCGGGCGCTGGGAAAAATCCGGGTTTGAGCGCTGAAACCCTAAACCCTAAACCCTAAATGGGTGGTTGTCAAAATTGTGGTCCCTTTTTGGGTCCTTACTATAATACGGCACCTATTCTTTAGGGTACCCCAAACAGGAACCCTAATTTTGACAACCACCCTAAA